AAATGAGGCAGAGGGGAAGAGCAGGTTGAAATTTTTCTGCTGCATAACAATTTCAAATGGCTTTGCTCGTGTCTTCTTACAAGACATTCAGCTGATAACAACTATTTTTAGTTTAACACATCTAGCTGTGATAGAACCTAAGAACTATCCTATGAGGCAACTAGAAAAATTACAGGTTTGAAATATTTTTTACCATGGGCCCAGAAGCCAGTGAAGGTCAATGTAGTAGGAGTGCCTACAACAGTAATTTAGAGATTCTAGAGGGCTCCCACAGGTATGGTAATTACTTAGATTCATCACTGTAGTGCCGGAGTCTATTTTAGTGATTTCCAGGTTCCAGGGGCATCGACCAGGTTTGGTATATACATAGTTACATTGATCCAAGCTGGACGAATGTAACTATGTAAAAATATCCATACCTGGAATTCCTCTTTAAACATTTTTTTTTTTCAAATTTTAGTTTATTTGAAGAAAGGCAGTACCTATAATGAACATTGCAAAGGTCTTAATGTACAAATAAACTGACCATTGTGACTACTGAATACAGATACCATACAAAAACAGTTGTTCTGAAGGACTACACAGAAGTTGAAACATAACAAATAGATCTATTAATTTTATCAACAGGAGGAACAGGTTCTGAAACATCTCTAAGTGGCTTTGTGGCTTCCAGCTATAAGTAGTCTTAGCACGTCACAAATGGAACCTCCCATACAGGTTCCATGTGGGGAGAAGGGATGCTGCCCCAATTATATTTTTATACAAAGATAGAAAGAAAAATTAGGGGGGGGGGAGAGGGATAGAGGAAAGAGAGATCTTAAAAGAAAAAGAAGGAAGGAAAGGATAAAGAGGTGAGGAGTGGAAGGAAAAAAATGAGGGAGAGGTTTATGTATTCACTATGATCCAGGGGAAGACGCAGGATGCCTATCACTCATCAAAGCCCAAGTCAAAGAGGACCTTACCTACCTCAGAGTATATGAACATATTTCACAATGTCCATGTTTTATATATAACTCACATTTACAGTCATGGCCGAAATTGTTGGCACCCTTGATATTTCTCCAGGAAATCATGTATTTCTCACGAAACGTATTGCATTAACACATGTTTTGCTATACACATGTTTATTCCCTTTGTGTGTATTGGGACAAAACAAAAAAAGGGAGGAAAGAAAGCAAATTCGACATAATGTCACACAAACCTCCAAAAATGGGCTGGACAAAAGTATTGGCACCCTTTCACAACTGCGGATAAATAAGAATGTTACAAGCATGTGATGCTCCTGTAAACTCACCTGGGGCAAGTAACAGGTGTGGGCAATATAGAAATCACACCTGAAAGCAGATAAAAAGGAGAGACGTTCACTTAACCTTTGCATTGTGTGTCTGTCTGTGCCACACTAAGCATGGACAACAGAAAGAGGAGACGAGAACTGTCTGAGGACCTGAGAACCAAAATTGTGGCAAAATATCAACAATCTCAAGGTTACAAGTCCATCTCCAGAGAACTAGATTTGCCTTTGTCCACAGTGCGCAACATTATCAAGAAGTTTTGCAACCCATGGCACTGTAGCTAATCTCCCTGGTCGTGGACGGATGAGGAAAATTGATGAAAGATTGCAACGCAGAATAGTCCGGATGGTGGATAAGCAGCCCCAAACATGTTCCAAAGACATTCAAGCTGTCCTGCAGGCTCAGGGAGCATCAGTGTCAGCGCGAACTATCCGTCGACATTTAAATGAAATGAAACGCTATGGCAGGAGACCCAGGAGGACCCCACTGCTGACACAGAGACATAAAAAAGCAAGACTACAGTTTGCCAAAATGTACTTGAGTAAGCCAAAAGCCTTCTGGGAAAACGTCTTGTGGACAGATGAGACCAAGATAGACTTTTTTTTTTTTTCGGTAAAGCACATCATTCTACTGTTTACCGAAAACGGAATGAGGCCTACAAAGAACAAAACACAGTACCTACGGTAAAATATGGTGGAGGTTCAATGATGTTTTTTGGGGTTGTTTTGCTGCCTCTGGCACTGGGTGCCTTGACTGTGTGCAAGGCATCATGAAATCTGAGGATTACCAAAGGATTTTGGGTCGCACTGTAGGGCCCAGTGTCAGAAAGCTGGGTTTGCGTCCAAGATCCTGGGTCTTCCAGCAGGACAATGACCCCAAACATACGTCAAAAAGCACTCAGAAATGGATGGCAAAGAAGCGCTGGAGAGTTCTGAAGTGGCCAGCAATGAGCCCAGATCTAAATCCCATTGAACACCTGTGGAGAGATCTTAAAATTGCTGTTGGGAAAAGGTGTCCTTCCAATAAGAGAGACCTGGAGCTGTTTGCAAAGGAAGAGTGGTCCAAAATTCCGGGTGAGAGGTGTCAGAAGCTTATTGATGGTTATAGGAAGCGACTGATTTCAGTTATGTTTTCCAAAGGGTGTGCAACCAAATATTAAGTTAAGGGTGCCAATACTTTTGTCCAGCCCATTTTTGGGGTTTTGTGTGACATTATGTCATATTTGCTTTTCTGCCTCTGTTTTATATTTGTTCCAATACATACAAAGGGAATAAACATGTGTATAGCAAAAACATGTGTTAATGCAATACCTTTTTTTGTGTGAAATACTTGATTTTCAGGAAAAATATCAAGGGTGCCAACAATTTCGGCCATGACTGTATGTTGTGAGGTAAGGACCAGGTCCTCCATCTGGTTTAGTTCTTCTACTTTCATGAGCCAAAGATGAATGGAGGTTGCGTACTTTTCCAAGTAAGAGGGATGCAAGATTTACCGACATTGAGAAGATGGCGAAATATCAATTTTTTTATAGACTTTGGTGGGTATATTTTTCTTCAAACATTTTAAATATTCAGCACATCATACAATGTGTTATTTTTCAGTACTTGATTTTCAGTACAAGATGTTACATGCAAGTACAAGTTGACAAAGAATACCTTTCAAAAAATGTGATGGAGGTAGTCTGACATGCCCTTATAATTCTAAAGTACATGTTAAATGCAAATTCACAATTATAACAGTATGCCGGAATGCAAAAATAGAAGTTATTCTCTCATTTTACCATAATGTTTAGTAGAGTGGTCTAATTAGCATGTTACACAGAAAAAAGGAAACATTTGTGGATGAATGGTGAAGTAATGAAAAGTCTATGAATGCCGCATGGTAGCTTCAATATTTCTATACAACGCCACATCCCCTATGAAAGGTGTTGTATACTTCAAATTGTATTATTTTATTTTAGTTTACTTTCCTTTTCTTTTTTTTATACTTAGTTCAGTGGCCTTAATTGAATTGCAGAATATACCACATTAAATATTTCAAGAAAAGCTTAAGCAAATATTATTTTAATGGTTATTTATCGCACATACCTACTTCAAAATAGAAAAACATATTCATAGTTGTTCTTTCAAATGTTCTTTTGTATGGCCATAATATAGATGTAGCTCTTGAAAAGAAAATTGTAAAACAATTTGAATCATACCACGGATGAAAATTATTCTCCAAGCAGTATCTGACCTTGAATAGCTTCGTTCGCATATACTGTAATTTCACTGGCTCTTATTTACTTGAAATAACTAAAGTAATGAGAACAATTGATAAGATGTCATGTAATTTAAGACAAATCACTCAACCAGTTATGAAGCACAATGCAGATAACCTTTAAAGTATATCTTGATATTTCGAGAAACAAAGAAATCTACTTTCTATGTATGTTATCTCATTTGACTATTAAGAAAAATAGTTCTTTTTCTACATCCAGAATCTTACTTTTAATAACGGGTTTAATCATTTATCTGTGTTCACAGTTCATTTTACTTTTGTTAATCTGGTCATACACAAGGGGATATGGTCATTTGTATGCAAGCAAGTAGGAAGATACCTTTTTCACCTAGAAGACTCATCCTCTATAAATGAAAACTTAACTCCTGTTAAGCATAGCATACTTGTGATTAAAGTGGTATCCAACCCAAAGCCAAAAATGTAATATGGAAACAGATAAAAATGGTATAAAGTGAGCGCTCCTGAGTAAGCAGCTAAAGCACTAAAGGTAATCGCAGTGTACCCATAAAATGACAAATAAAACAGTGCAGCGCTAAAAAATAAATATAAAGTGCAAAAGAAGATAGTCTGTGGTTAATAAATTGATTCATATAAGTAAGTCCTAAAAAGATAGCTGAGGAAACCAGGAAACAATGGAAAGAATGCGCACTCACCGGACGCGCATGGAAAATGCGCATATAATGAATATTCACTGGAATCTTTATAGTAGATGAAGAGGGTAAACTTCAATCTGTGGGTCAATCAGCCTGGGAAAGTATATGGGAAGTCCGGAGGTCTCCTTAAGGATGGTATGGTGCTCAGCCAGAATCCAAAGCTCCGTCCCTCTGGTGGTAGTAGGTGAAAACTACAGGTATCCTGCAAGTTGATTTAGCTCCCAATAGGAGCCAAAAAGACAGGTGCCCATAGTGTAGTATTTCAAACACGTTTATTAGACTTAGGGTCAGTATCATCGCTGCATACTCTGCTGTATATTATATACTTCACACAACCAATACTACCCTGTATTCACCACATTATTTGGTGAGCACCATACCATCCTTAAGGGGACCTCCGGACTTCCCATATACTTTCCCAGGCTGATTGACCCACAGATTGAAGTTTACCCTCTTCATCCACTATAAAGATTCCAGTGAATATTCATTATATTGTGCATTTTCCATGCGCCTCCGGTGAGTGGCGCATTCTTTCCATTGTTTCCTGGTTTCATCAGCTATCTTTTTGGGACTTACTTATATGAATCAATTTATTAACCACAGACTATCTTCTTTTGCACTTTTATATTTATTTTTTAGCGGGCTGCACCTCTAATAAACTTGTTTGAAATAAAAAAAGAGACAAAAGATAGGAATGGGTTTATAATATAAAAAAATTTTTTTTTTTTTTTTTTTTTTATTATTAGAACAGGTTTTTTTTTTTCCTTTCGGGATAAAGATTTAGGCCCAGGGGTGGACTGACCATTTGGAAACTTGGGCACTGCCCGAGGGCCCTGGGTCAGTAGGGGGCCCCATGAGATGCCCCTGGTACCTTTTCATAGGCTTTTTTGAGTTTGGGCAAGGACGCAGGGGCCCAATGATCCCCTATTGCCCAGGGGCCGCATGAGTTGTCAGTCCGCCCCTGCTTAGGCCTCATGCATACAGTTTTAAAACGCTACTCTTCTTAGTTACAAAAGACAGGTTTTTTTTTTTCCTTTTGGGAAAAAGATTTCTCTTAGGCCTCATGCACACAGGACATTTTAAAAACGCTACTCTTCTTAGCAACAGTGCTTTGGCAGAAAAACGCCTGACACTTGTCAAAGTTTCTAAAGCTTTTACAAGAGTTTAAGTGCATTTACAGGTGTCAAGCGCTTGGGGTATTAATTAATTTCATTGGCCATAAAAATAATCTATTCTGGCCATCGAAATGAATTAACGCGCCTAGTGTCAACATGCGTTTAGGCACGTTTAGGTGCATTTACACGCATCAAGAGTTTTTTTCTGCCAACACACTGCTGCCCCTAGATGCACTGGCCCTGGGTTTGTTTTCTTACTGGTAAACGCTACTGCTACTAAAAGCTTATAAAAGTCTATGTGTGCATGGACACATAGGATAATAAGGAGGGCCATTTGCAAGCAGTAAAAAAAACATGCCCGATGCCCCTAAAAGTGGATGCAAAACGCTGCATAAGGCCTTAAAAATCTTACTGTTTTAAGCACCCATGTAAGTGTTAACTATTTTTTCTCATCTTTGTAAATTACATCTGAAAAAGAGTTTGTTCTTTTGAAAAACAACAAACTTACTGGCTGGATCACCAGCTGACTATAATAAATGTTTGCTTTTGGGTTTATTATTGTTTTAAAACACATTTTTTAATAAAATAATAAGGCTTTCCAGTTGTAATATAAAGTCAACCAATTTTTCCTATGGATACTAGAAAATACATCTCCGGGGTTATGAACAAGATACGTTTGTTCTTTAGTTGAATTTGTATGTAAGTTGGAACAGATACATTTTTTAAATGTAACTCCAGCCAAAAAAAATATTTTTAAGTTTTGGATAGCATAGGGAAGGGTTAACTGTCTATGCAGTGATGTGGGATTGCTCACAGTTCTGCCAGACAGTAGGTCGCAGCATGCGGTGAGCAGCAAGATGGCTGTCCTGCAGTTTCTGGGACCAGTGTGACATCACGTTGCCTCCATTTCATTCATTCCAGTGACACCAATACAGTGATCAGTGCTAATAAAAAGCACTGACACTGTACTAATTGCACTGTCAAGAAGGGTTTAACATCTGGGGCGATCAAAGGGTTAACTGTGTGCTGTTTTACTGTGTGCTGTGTTACTGCTTTCAATTGTAAGCACACTTCTTTATATGGCTCTGCTATGCAGAGCCATACAAGGCAACGTGCTGGAGCTGACAGAGGAGAGAACTTTATTGGTTACATACATTTCTCTCCCCCCATCGGTAATGCTTGGCAATCACCAGGTGAGTAATCACCGTCTGGGACCCGGTAATTGACAGCTAAGGCCGCAAATATGGCACAGGTACTGTCTTAGGTACCCCTACCCGGAAATACAAGATCACGTATATATACATGATTTCGCACACGCCTGCCGCCCTGTAGGAATATATCTGCTGTAGGGCAGCTGGAAAGCGGTTAAAGTTATCTACTTAGCTGACCAGAATCAACTGAGGAAGTCTATTCCACATTTTCACAGCTCTTACTGTGAAGAAACCTTTCCGTGTTTGGAGATTAAATCCTCCAGATGTAAAGAGTGCCCCCTTGTCCTCTGTGATGACCTCAGAGTGAATAACTCTACACCGCGTTCACTATATGGACTACCTATATATTTATACATGTGGATCATATCCCCCTTAATCTTCTCTTCTCATTCTATAATCTATAATCTATGCATCCTCTGTTTTGCAAATAAAACTTCTAGTACATGACAAAGAATTTACAGAGCATTTTATATCTGAAGCAGCACAGTTGAAGCTTCCTGGCTTTCAGAGACAGTCGTCCAATATGAAAAGAGTTATAACTCATACTAATTCAATTGTGTGTGTGTGTATTACTGCTTGAGCCATTGAGCTCTGTAAACAATATGATATGATTTTTTTTTTCAGCATGATGTTAAAGCAGATTTAAACTCTCTCAATCAACAATACCTGTTTCAATATCTTATGCAGTTAGCATTAGTGTAAAGATGTAGAAAGGTGTATTATATTTACTTGTTTAAAACTTTTTTTTTAATTTCTTCAATTGCTTCCTAGATTCTGGCATAGACCAAAATGATATCATACATCTCAGGAGTCTTCATGGGCATTTATTTCTTTCATCTGGAGGAGGGGATGAAGGGCTTTCACAGCTAAGCACTTCCTCCGGCCTGCATGCCTGAGCTAAGGGCATAAGGATTCCAGGAAGTAAAGAGTCATCTACCCTTACTTAAGATGGTCACAACTTGAAATGCTAGGGTAGGGGTCTCCAAACTTTCTAAGTAAAGTGCCAGATTACTGTCCTTCAGGCTTTACGGGGACCAGACTGTGCCCAGTGGGACTAAAACATTCCCAGGCGTCAGTGCCCCATCATCAGTTTTAAGGGGAGGAATAGTGCCCCATTGTTGAAATCAATGAGAAGAATAGTACCCCATTAATGGTTCAGTAGAGGGAATGGAGCTCCATCATTGGTTTCAGTTGGTGGAATAGTGCCCAAGGGCCAGATAGAAGCATGGAAAAGGCCACATCCGACCGCTGGGCTGCAGTTTGGAGACCACTGTGCTAGGCGGTGTTTTTCAAAGAAATTTCTCAATTAAATAAATCGTGGAGACATGGATGGATAGGGGAGTTTGCTTTGAATATTAAAAATGTTTGTGGTGGTCACATACAGTTTAGTTAAGCTTTAAACAATTGAGAAACAGGTCAAATGGAGTCTTACAACTCCCCTTACTGGCTAAACAGAAGACAACTTTATGACTTTTTGCTTACACAAATCTTTCATCCAAATTGAGTAGTGTTGTGTGTGTGTGTGGGGGGGGGGGGAGGGGTGTGATTGAAAGCAAATAGGGGTTGTCGACAGTTACAAAGATACTGAAGATCAGTTATTATATCCTAAATAGTTATTAGTATCCCGCTGCTGCCCATTAGCCTTGAGGAGAGTGGGGCTGCAGATGGGCACAGTGCTGGATCACTGACAGGCTCAGATAAGTTAGAAATAAACTTGGGGTGCCGCATCAAGCAAGAAGAAAAGTTCAATCCACTTGGTCCTCAGAAATAGGGATGTTGGTGTTCAGGCCCACTCATCAAACTGTCACAAAACCTTTAAGTATGAGGAGATCCACTCTCCCAGCCCAACCGGAGTGTAAGTGAAGGTGTTAGGAGGCCCTAGTCAATGCTACTCTGCAAACCATAACCACTGATGCAATTCGCCCACCTACCTGGGCTAAGTGATAGGCTCAGGTAAGTGTTCCAGGAAGGGAAGAAGGAACAGCTAGCAGAAGGTTTTTAACTTTAATGAAGAGAATGCATTAACCTCCTTAGCGGTATTCCTGAGTGTAGTTCGGGGTAAAATGTCAGTACCAAAAGCGGTAACCCCGAGCTACACTCGGGCTTACCATGCGGCGTTGCTCTGGGAGTCCCTGCAGCACTTACCTTGTCCTTTGCTCCCACGATGTGTCCCCTGCAGCGTCCCCGGCCATCTCCTCCGGCCGATGCCGGCATCCGGCTTTCGTGTTCGGGTCCCTGTGACGTCGGGACGTACGGGTGCCGGAACCGGCGGCAAATTTGAAATTTTTTAAAAATGTCATTTTTTTTAAAATGACTATTACATAGTAAAACATTGCTGTTTCAATGCATTTCACATACATTTTGTCCCTACTGCTTTGTCCTGTGCCCTGCCTGCATTTTGACTGTTCTTTCTGCCTGGAAACTTAGAAAAAAGTCCATGGCGTCCAAAAAGCGTCCCTTTATGTCAAAAGCGGTTTTAGACCAGCTAGAGAACAGCGATAGTAAATCAGAACCACTTGCAGAATTGAGTGATAATGATTCGTGGGGAAATTCGTCATCAGACACTGAAAACGATTTTGCGACTTTGCTCAGCGATGTGCGAATTTGCCTCTGTATTTCAAATTTCAGTGTTTTTGGTTTGATTATATTATTGAATTAAATTTATTATTATTATATTATTATTTTTTATGATTATTTATTAAATTATAATTTATGATTTCGTGTTTCAAATTTTATCATATCCGGGATGTTTACTAGACTCTTGTTCGTACAGATTTCAGTGAGTAATTCCTAAAAGTTACAGCCTACAATAAAAAACTACATATTTCCATGTAAAAAAATGGTACCGCTTTCAGCACAAAAAATTGGAAATAATCAGACCGCCGAGGAGGTTAAGATACAAATACTTTTTTGACTTTAGAACCACTTTAAGCAAACCAGTTTCTTTGCCCTGCAGGTTTCCTGTTGCAGGTTGATGAATCAGGATAATGTAAAATGAAGAAAGGAAGGGGAGAAAAGAAGAACAGGAGAAATAGGAAGGACAAAAGAGGGAAAAAAGGAAGGAGTTTTAAAATAGAAACAAATGAACTAGATAGGCAGACAGAGATTTTTTTTTAAACCTAAAATGACCCGGTCACTGCAGGAGGTAGAAAGATACCGTTGAGAAAGAAAGCACTAAAAAGAAAGCTTCATATAAAAGATATAAAAACATGTTTGTTGTCTTCTGTTGCTTTTTTCCCAGATATTGCAGAAATAAACTGGGTATAAGTGAGGCTACAAAGAAGTCATTGATATCGGAAGTAAAAAGCTATATTTTTATTATCTGTCCCCTGGGAGCAGCTCCTCTTATGAAGCGCTGCCCTTCAAACTCAACGTTCCTTGTTTAGAGTTATGAATACTGTCTGTCACCAGAGCAGACAACAAAATTTGTCACTAAACCAAACTCTGTTGAGAATGTACACCTTATAAATAATACTGATTAAGATGGAACACTAAAGCAGGCTAAAGGACACACATTTCAAACATTTGCCAAAAAAAAAAGGTAACACTTTTTAGCACATTTTTTTTAATATAGTCATTTGACTTTGTGTTCATGACATACAACTAAAATACGCAGCTATTACACAGGCTTGTTTTTACATGTCACATCAACGTCAAAGGGTAATTATCACCTATATTAGTGAGACTCCAAGCCTGGTAACAGTCTCAGTTCATGGTCACCACTTTCCTTTAGAGGTCCTCCACCCCAAAAGGCCTTCAGGCTATACAAATTAAACCAAATGCAGCATTGCCCACTGTGGTAGTTGTTGAGGCGTTAGAGCTAGTTACATAGTTACATAGTTACATAATTAGTCTGGTTGAAAAAAGACAAAAGTCCATCCAGTTCAACTATTAGTGAGAGTGGTGAGGACATCCACCACATCTGGAGGTCTCTGATCCTAGTGGCGCCCATATCTCCTAGATTGTAAGCTCAAAAGAGTAGGGCCCTCTTACCCGCGTACGTTGTTTGTTATTGTTGTACTGTGCCATGTATTGTCCCCCCTCTATTGTACAGCGCTGAGCAAACCCTTTGGCGCTATATAAACTCGATGTAATAATAATAATAACTCTATAAGATCCAAAAAGGAAGAGGAATGATTTCTTCAGATGACCACCCTGAAGACATCGGAAAAAGTATAAGCATAAACTATATAAAATATATATTATTATTATTATTAGTATTACATCGAGTTTATATAGCGCCAAAGGGTTTGCTCAGCGCTGTACAATAGAGGGGGGGACAATACATGAAACAGTACAACAACAACAAACAGCACACGAGGGGTTAGAGGGCCCTACTCTTTCGAGCTTACAATCTAGGATATATAAATATATAAAGAATAAAATACTCCCAGGGAGGGGGATTCTAGGGGAGTGGAGATTGGCTGGTAAAGGGGAGAGCCCAGATTTGGGCTTTAAAATAATACTTGGTGATTCTGATATAAAGGTCCTGATTCAGGCACTACTTGTAAATGGCAATGCTGTCTTCATTATATTATGTAGACAGGAAATGGATGCAAGCAAGGATGAGTGAACTGAGTAAAATTCAGTTAACTGGAGGTATTTACAAGATATTGTGAGAAAATACAATAGGCACTTCCATGGAGTACATGTGCTATTTAAAAAAAAAATTAAATATATTTTAGCTGGGATAGAATCTTTTAATGCTGCCCAAGAAGCAGCATTGAAAATGCACAAATATTTTATACACGCTTGGAAGATGCAGGAGTGGCTCATTCTCAATGACTGCTGATAATCAATATGAGTTCTGCTGGCTCCGCTCCAGTTCACATGCCTGCATCTTCTACTGCTTGCTCTCCCTAAGTCTGGGTTCCCACTTGTAAATTGCATTTGACCTCAGGCACATTGGGAGTTTAGCCCTGATGCATGAGACTTTATCGTTTAGTCGCGGGTGGAAGTTACATTCCGCTGCTGGAAGCCTGTCCAGCTCTATGAGAGGCTGAAAGCTGCTGCAGCTGGATAGGGTTGGGCGGTGCACTGCGTGGTACTTATGTTTAGTGCAGTATGTGCCCATGGACAAATGCCTGGATTGCATGCAGTCTGCATTCTGTGGATTCATCCCTGGGTGCATACTGAAATAAAGGTAAGTACTACTCGGTGCATCATCCAACCATGTCCACCCCATTGCAGCTGCTGGCAGTGGGGCTGGATGGTGTGTTTGTACCTTCCACCGACAGCTAAATTCTGGTGCCTCATGCACAGGGGCGTATTTACCACAAGGCAGACAAGACACTTGCCTAGGGTGGCATTATGCAGGGGGGCAGCACCTCCCCCCCAGAATAAGGGATGAAAGAAGGGACATGCACACCATAGGAACCAGTTGGGAACTGAGAGAGGCTGCAGGCTGCTTCATGGTGTATGTAGAGCCTGACTCTCGTTCCCGGGGATGTCTGGAGCTGTGAAGATGAGTGTCTTTCTATCACCGGGGGTTGGGGGGGGTAGTGGAAGGCTCTCCTAGGTGGGGGGCAGGGGTGTTGTTGGTCAATGTCAGGCTCTCTCCGCGGGAGGGGGAAGGGGGGGTGTTGGTCGGTGTCTGTGGGGGCAGAGAATATTTGTGTTGCCTAGGGCAGCACAAAACCTAAATACACCACAGCTCATGCACTAGGTTTAAACACCCAATGTACATGAGGCCATAGTGTGCATTGTACTAGGGCAACCTGTTCATTGTGAATGGGTTCAAAACTCCATTCCATGGCTAAAAGTGCACCTGACACTTTTACAGGTACACACTGCAATGAACAGTAGTGCATTGTTGTGTATTGCGAATGTGCTGCAACACAGGAACATTGCTTTAGTATGTTGGGGTGCCATTCAGAATGTTTGTCTCTTCAGTGCACCAATGCACATAACATGTTATAACAGCGCCATATTGTAAACCCAGCCTAGAGCACCAAGTAGCATACTTCAGGCTCACCTAGGCCTATTGCAGTGCCTTTACATGTAGTCAGTGTTGCCAACTATTTGTAATCATCTGTTCCTCTCACACCACTGACACCATGGCATTACTTCTAATTCATGGTCAACTTGAACCTGAACCTCATCCTTAGCTGCAAAAAGGAAGCAGGAGATCAAGAACACCGAAATGCATCAAAGGGGGGAAAAAATGTTCTTTTTAATTTTACAATTTTTATTATTTTTAAAATTAAAATAATTTATGATGCTGTGATTTATCAAACTATTGGTTTCTATGCAGAGCTGCACCAGATTTTGCATTCTCCGGTTTTAGTAAATCAACCCATAAACATCACTTATTAACCTCTCTAGTGGTCTGATTATATCAGTATTTCTGTGCTCAAAGCAGTACATTGTTTTCAATGGAAATATGTTGTTTTTTTATTGTAGGCCTGTAATTTTTAGGAATAGCTCACTGAATCTGTCCGAACAAGAGTCTAGTAAACATTCCGGGTATGATAAAATTTGAAACACAAAATCATAAATTATAATTTAATAAATAATCATAAAAATAATAAATATAATAATACATTTAATTCTATAATATAATCAAACCAAAAACACTGAAATTTGAAATAGAGCGCTAAGTTCGCACATCAATGAGTAAAGTCGCAAAATCGTTTTCAGTGTCTGATAATGAATTTCCCCACAAATCATTATCACTCAATTCTGCAAGTGGTTCTGATTTACTATCGCTGTTCTCTAGCCGGTCTAAAACTGCTTTTGACCTAAAGGGACACTTTTTGGACGCCATGGACGTTTCTCAGTTTCCAGGCAGAAAGAACAGTAAAAATGCAGGCAGGGCTCAGGACAAAGCACTCTGGGACAAAATGTATGTGAAATGGTTTGATACAGGAATGCAATACTATAAGATTTTAGTGTATTGAGTGAATGTCACATTTTTACATTATTGAATTTCCCGCTGGTTCCGTCCCCCGTATGTCCCGTACGTCCTGATACTTGCAGGGAACGGACCCCAGAAGATGGATGCCGGCATCGTCCAGAGGACATGGCCGGGGACGCTGCAGGGGGGACATCATGGGAGCGCAGGACAAGATAAGTGCTGGAGGGATCCCTGAGCAACGCTGCACGGTAATCCCGAGTGTAGCTCGGGGTTACCGCTTCTGGTACTGAAAGTTAGCCCCGAGCTATACTTGGGAATACTGCCAGGGAGGTTAATGGTTTACTTTAAAGTTTTAGAAAAAGTTTTTCACTATTGTATCCTTATATTTTTTCTCACAAACTCCCAAGGTAATTTTTTTTTCTTTAGTCTTCTGTTCTAGTCACCCTTTTAGAATCTTCATTGCATATTTTCAATTTCTTTCCTATGGAAATAAAGTCAGATTCCATCTGTAATGCTTTTAGGTCATGCCTTACCTCCAAAACATATTTGTTATCTGGCCCTTTATTAAACAGAGCTGCGGGTATAGTTTTGATGTGGCAAAGTAAAAATCGTGCAGGAAGAGTCTTCGTTTCTATTTATGCTTTCTCACCTCTCCAAAGGAAGTGATTGAATTATGAAATTGTCTCATCTTCATTTTACCCTTTCATCTGATTTTAAGTGTCTGGAGAATTAAACTCGGTGGAGGAAACAAAAGCAATCTTTTTCCTTTTCGAGGAAGCCTCAAGGAGCCATGACCTCTGTGCTCACCTACTTTCATTTTAAATTTGCACCATTTACACAATAAAATAACAGAGCTATCTGTGATGTGCCTATGGTATTGTAAGTGATACTCTTACATAATATGGATGTTTTTAGCTCTCCCTGGGAAACTAGTATTTGAGGAATCTACGCTGGAGCTGTCATGTTAACTTGTTGAAAAGCTTGAAATATATTAAAAATAGGTATGCCATAGCTAAGTTAAAACATAAAACTACATTTTCTATAGGCAATTTCCATTAAAGAAGGATTATAGGTATTGATGTTTTATATATAGTAGTTACATTGGTCTAGTTTGGAACAATGTAACTCTGCATATACCATGCCTGATCAATGCCCCTGGAAGCTGGAAATCACTGAAGTAGACTTCTCTACTCATGTGATCTTTGCTTGTTTCCGTGTTGGGTAGGTGCAGCGTGGTGCTGCGGCAGTAAACACACAGAGGCTCGGAGTGCAGTAACCGATGTATTGAAGAACGAACACAGTGGGGAAAGTCATCTGACTGGGAACTTACAGTCAATGCAGAGGAAAATTAACTCTTGCCAAGGGGGTGGAATGCGTTCTGGCCAGTCCAGTCCCAATGGGATCTCTCTGAAGTGCAGATATATGCCCTGAGTGTCAGGGCAGGAGCTGTGGAACGGACAGGCAGGCCTAGTGGCAGGGTCATGCACTGACTGAAGAAAAACACCACCCACAGACTGGAGACCCTCAGGGTGCGGAGTCTAAGTCCCACACTGCCCTTCACCAGGGCCCCTGATGGTGGGGATGGACTTGACACAGCCAGGAACCAGGTCGCGGCCCCGAGACACCCCAGCTGCGGTAATGGCCACTGCCAATGGTGTGTAGCTGGTAGGAACCAGATCAGACAATAGTGAAGTCGGGCAGGCCGGGTCGACAACAACGGGACAAACGGTACAGGACAGTAGACAAGAATAACAGGTCACACGCCGGGTTCAGCAACGGGATGTCAGATCAAAGGAAAATGCAGAGAATGGTCTAGTCAAAAGCTGAGTCAGATTCCAGGAGAGTCACGAGAGTATAAACAGAGCTATTGCAACACTAACACACAAGACACGAATGCAGAGAGCATTTGCAGACAGCAGGCTTAAATGTGATGAACCACACCCTTCTGAGGAGGAGCCACAGAAGCCTGAAGGCATAAAGGTTCCCACCATGCTTTGCAGAAACCCAAGATGGACACCAGCACATGGGATGCACAAGCTCTGAGGAAAGGTAGGACCTTGACACTGAGCTAACCCTACTCCTCTGGAACCTCTTCCTGCCACTAGTGCTGTCCCCAAAAGATGGATATGCTTTCCCTCCAGTAGCCATTATGCAAATGTATGCCAAAAGCTAGGGAGAAGAGACTTGAAAAGACTCTGAATGACACACGATGGCTGCCAGGGTCACCTGGATGCAACATAGCCAACTGAAATGCTGCTTCAAAGAACATAGAGAATGACAGGAAAGGAATCCTCATGTGCCCAGGCACACAAATCTCAGAAACTCTGCCCGTGGCTGGATTGCAGATGCGCGTGCATGTATCTGAATATCCGGGAGCGCATGAACATGAATGTGCATTGGTGCCAGAAGAGCTATTTAAACTGCACTATTGGAGTCTGTCAGTGCCGTTTGGTCTATTACATTCCTGTGTTCCTGATACCAGTTACTGCCTGATCTTCTGCTATTGACAAAGTCTGTCTCTGACTCTGCTCTGAACGGCACCTGTACCGACCCCTGGCTTGTCTCTGGACTATGTCTCTGCTTGCTCCTTCTGCCATTACCGCTTGCTGTTACCGACCTTGGCTTGACTCCTGACTACTCTCCTGCCTGCTGCTTGTACTTCATCTGCTCATTAGTTACCGACCTTGTGCCTGCTAGTCAGCTGGCACACATTAGTTCCTTGTGCCTGCTAGTCAGCTGCCTCTGCTATCCTGTGTCTGCACTGGTTCCAGTTCATCTGCCAGCTTGTCCAGTCCTGAGCTTCCTGCTCCCCTGACACACATCAGCACCAACCAGTGAGAGACTTATCAGGCACTCATGCCACCCAGTGCTCCGTCCTTTCCTGTCACCTTACCATGGAATCCTGATCCAGGGCTGTAAGAGAGGCCTTTCCCAATGCTTCAGGCTCCTCCATCAGGTACGTTACAGAGAACCATAGAGAATCCAGGTTTCCCTTGACTTCAATCCCAGCTGCAGTACCAGAAGAGTGCCACCTACGATAGAGAAAATAGACTGCACCTGCTTACGTCTGGGTCCCGTACTGAGACCAGCCATTTTCTGAAAAAATGCCAAGCATTCTCTGACTGTTAGAGGTGGAGAGTGTGATATCCAGAGGAGTCCCTAGGGTTGGTGTCACCTGGTGCGGTAACACTTGGTGACACCCCTTCCGACGTTCCCCGCAGATTGGATCGGATCTGCGGATTGAGCATAATGGATCGGACTCCAATCCATTATGCTCAATCTGCAGATCCGATCCATCCTGCGAGGATCGTCAGCTTTCTTTACAACTTACCTTTTCTTGGAGTGGTTTCGGGACAACTGCGCATGTCCCAGTTTCAGGCACGATCAATCGATGATAGCAGTAGTTCTATCATCGATTGATTGTACCTGAAACTGGGACATGCGCAGTTGCTTCAGGGGAACTTCTACATGGGAGACACATCTTGCCAATACACCGGCTTCAACCCGCAGGATCGTCCGCATGCAACCTATACGGGGTGACACTGGACCCGCTCAAAGAATAGGAAAGAAAAGGGAAGTTGTAAAGAAAGCCCATGATCGTCGGCTTGCTTTACAACTTACCTTTTTGTGGAGCGGGTCTGGTGCACCCCATGTGGTCGGTGTTACCTGGTGTGGACTGCACCCCCCGCACCTGCCTCGGGACGCCACTGGTGATATCACCACCCTGACTATCCTCCTCATCAAGTCAGAGACTGTTTTGCATTCATTCTGAATGAAGGTCAGCTTCTCATGCTGAGCGGCTGACCTCCTGTATTCATAAGACAGCATGGCAGTTGCTCAGTGCAAGACCAAAAAGCAAGTGGAATAGCAGTGTGTACTTTAGTGATTTCCAGGGGTATCGGCCATGTTTGGTATATACATAGTTACATTGGTCCAACCTAGACTAATTTAACTATCTGTAAAATATCCATACCTGGAATTCATCTTGATCTCTGTGAATGAATGGCACAGCTATTCA